GTATATATTATCTCAGTTCCATACGTGGATTTACTTGCATAGCTTTACTTTGAAATATAAAAATAATACTTGCTACCACTTTAGTGAGTGCTAACCAAGTGGCAAGCACTCCTCATGAGTTCATCTCATTGAAATTCATTACAACTCATAGTAACTGTTAAGTAGATATTATTAATAAGATTTTGTATATGAGGAGATTATGTCCCTTGCTGCAGTTCACACAGCTTGTTAAGTAGAGGAGCAGGGTTTGAATTCGTCTGACTTCAAAGCCCATCTTTGCTCTTTCATCACAAAATATTAAACTCAAAACACCAATTATTTTAAAAAGCTCAGTATTTTATATATTTTGTGTCCAATGCATAAAGTATCATGCATTTACATGTGAGATCTCACAAGAGAAATAAAAGAATAATGTCACATTTTTTATTAACCTCAACCTGGATTTCTCTTGCTTTTATCTTTGCATTATGGATAATTTTAAACATGTACAAAAGTAGACAAAACTCTGCAATAAGCTCCCGTATACACATTATCCCATATACACATCATCCAGCTTCAATAAGAGTCAATGTATGACCCATCTTGTTTCATCTACAAGTGCACCTCACTTTTTCCTCTCCCCTTCCGTGTCATTTTGAGTATGTCAGCCATTTACCACTTTATCTTTAAATATCACAGCAAACCTTTTCTAAGATAAGGACTTTAAAAAAAATAAGTATAAAACCATTGTCACACCTAAAAAATTAGCAGTAGTTCCTTAATAACATAAAATATCCAGTCAGTGTTTAAATTTCTAATTTTCTCATAGACATCACTTTTAATAGTTTGTTTGACTCAGGATGCAAATAAGGTCCACATATTAGTTGATACTTCTTTTAAATCTCTTTTAATCTATAGTTAATGTGGCTTTATAATAACATTTTCCTTATTTGCTTTGCACTATTTTCTCTTGGCAAGCTCTATTTTTAGGGATAAATTTACTTTGACAAGGGATATAAGCTTGCCATTTCAAAATAAGATTTTTAATATTCACAAAGTGAAAATTTTTTGTATAGAAATATACTGAATAATTTTCTCAGAAATCCTCTATGCAATCCATGTAGAATCTTCAAATTGGCAAGAAATTTCACCAGCTCATATTTACCACTATTGCAAATGTAAGATGAGTAACCAATGGACCCCCCCCAAAAATAGGGTTTTGTTATATGTACTTACAATATTTTCATAGTCTTTTAAAAATTTTTATTTAAATATTGTGTCATTTGTTTAAGACTGTGGCTCCATGATGGAAATTTTTCTAATGTTCATGGAGATGTTTTTATTGCAATAAAATTTAAAGTTATAATTTAAATTTTTGATTAATAACTGTCAATAATTAATCTATTTTACCAGAGGGGAAACTAACTAAATGAAGAAGAATATCAGTTTCCTCTATGCCATAAAATGATAGTGCCATCATATCTAAAGGGCAAAACTAGTATTACTGTTTAGATATCTGATCAATTGCCTTTGAGATGTCTGATTACTGAAATGGTAAAAGTTCCATGGCAAAGAGTCCAGTGAGCTTTCTTTGCAACTTTAAATGAAAAATTAAGTAGACTAAAACTTCTTAAAGTAAGCACAACTTGAAATATCAGAAGAATCTGTGTCTCATTAAAAATAAAAATAAGTCTTTCCCATGTTCTCCAATCATATTTGAGCTCATTAAAAGAACTTTTGTTTACGTCCCTTCTACCTTAAAGTAAGAAATATTTTTATTGTGTTCTATTTCTCTCTGTTTCATTCTCATTCTTTTTTAAGGAATGTAATTCAGGAAGTTGACAGTGGACCAATAAGAAAATTTGGATGGAAATGCTGAAGGGAAAAGAATTAACATTAACACTATCATGAACTTAAACTATGTTTCCTTACCGTGTCCTATGTCTAGGTTTTGTGCTAGGGTTTACACATACATATTACTACTAGTCCTCATAACAACCCTGCAAAGAGACAATAAAATAAAGTCATGAAGAATATGGGCTCTGGAACCGCTAGTGAGTAGAGAGTTTCTTATTAGGGTGATGGAAATGTTCTGAAATTAATAGTGGTAATTGTTATACAACTCAGTGACTGTACTAAAAACCACTGACATATACTTTAAAAGGGTGAATTTTATGACATGTGAATTCTACCTCAATGAAAGTTTCATATATATTATACACACACACACACACACACACATATATATTTATATATATATTAAATGTATCTTATAGAACTAGACTGACAAAGTTAGAATCCTTGAGAGGCATGACCTTGAGCAAGTCTCTTAACCTCTCTGTACCTCAGTATCCAAATCTGTCAATGGATATATATAACAGTACCTATTTCATAATGTTCTGAGGATTAAATAAGATAATGCATGTAAAGGATTTATCACAGCATCTGGCACATCCCTGTTTTATAGACAAGAAAGCCGAGGATCAGAGAAATTAAGCAACTGGCTAAGGTCAAATGACCTTTGGCTAAATAGTGTAATTGGGCTTTCAACGTGTGTCTGTCAAACCTCAACATTTATGTTCTATTATGCGTGTTTCTTTTCCAGAACAGGGATAAGACCCTCCCTAATACTATTCAATGGTTACTCCTCTGGCACATTAAACTTTGGATTTAATAGAAAACCTGGGATTGATAAGAAAAACTTGCTTTCAATCCTTCTCTACATTTGGGCAAGCATCTTTTTTTAAAGGTTGCTCTTTCAGCACACTGTACTGAATTATCACCTTAAACAGGTGTTTACATGTTTGGGGGGCTTTATAAATAAGGGATCTTTTATAACTAAAGACCATTTTCTTCCCAGGCACCAGATTCTGGTTTAGTCCAAATATCCTGAAGAACACAAGTGTGTATTTAGTGTGCAGATTTAATAGATTTCATCCCATCATATTCCTACACAGGCGATCCTGCCATAGATAAAAATGCTAGGAAAGTTTGGGATCATTATTCCTGTCCTTTCTCACTCCTTCCCAATACGACCTAGTTTTCCAGGGCTTTTAAAATTCTTCTGCCAGCTGATCTCTTTCCTACATATTCCTATTCTTTTCATAATCCTAAATTGTGCTATAGAACTTTACATAGACATGTTACTACTTCCTCCCACTCTACCAGTTTCTGAAGCACACAGTGAACTGAGATCTGACCGAAAGGGCAAGGTAAAAGATTCTCCACTCTCCCCGCAAAAAATGTCCTAAGAGGAGCAAGGCTGAGGGCAAGACACGTGACCATGGGTTTTTCTTCTTGATCTTTCCTTACATTTACTTCTACATGAGCAGGCTTTACTACACGTATCCAACCATTGTCAAGAAGCAGAGTTTTATGTTCTAAATAAACTCTTTTCAATTGTCTCCTTGACTGCTCTACCTCTGCCTTCTCTCTAAGAGCCAACGGCTGTGTAGAAGTTGCCCTGTGCTGGAAGATGGCTGTAACGCCACTATTAGAAGAATCTGGTAATATGAGCCCTTTGTCTTTTTAGCCCCAGATAGTCTCTTGTGTTCAGCTCCAAAATTATTTTTTTTCTTCTCAACATATTATTACTCCACATCTCTGACACTAATTCTTTATTTCTCCTTCAGGTAATTAATTCTACCCTCACAGTTCCATTCATTTCTGCCAGTTCACATTCATGTTTTGGCCCCTGTGGATTTTGGTTAACATCTGTTAAACCCTGAACTGTAGGGCCATTCCCTGAATAGTATATTTTACATTTTACAAAACTGCTACATTATTACATATATTTCTCTATTCTCAGTGTATATTTTTAGCCATAAATGCTTTAGGACAATGATATATATAGTAACAACACATTGCATTATTTAAAATACTATACACAGTATGACTTGACAAGAAACTTTAAAAAATATTTTTATTTGTTAAAGTTGACTTTTAAAAAACCTGAAATACATAAAAACAAAATATGAGCTAGGCAAATTAAAATTTTAATAAAAACAGTATCATTATTTATAATTTAAATTTCTTTAAGGCATATCTGCTCACTGAAATGGGATACCATGACAATATTGAGTAAAAAGAAGAAAAAGTATGAACAAATTTTACAATTGGTTTAAAAAGTTGTAGAGCAAAATAATTTATAAAGTACTTAAAAATTTGACCTACTCTCTGTGATTACCTGAGAAAATAAAAATCTCCATTTCTAATAAGATAAGATAATTAACATTCAGAATGATGTTTCTGACATTCTGAACCAGAGTACTGAAAAGAAGAAATGCATATACTTTAAAGACGCCCCCTCAAAACAGTTTGAATTCAGAAAAAAATATTCAAATTTGAACCTTTTAAAAATATGTTCTAATGCTATCCTTTTTTTTTTTTTTAAATCTTGCACACAGCTGTCTGTTGTACTTTTTAGAATCATGCCAGATGCTGGGTTCATCAAGCAAAAGCAGGAAAACAATGGGTTGAAAGTAATTAGAAGCACGGAGGCTGCAGTGAGGCTCATATTAAAATGTGATAACACTGTTCTAGTGGGAATTTCAACACTGCTCCATTCCTGACATTTCTCTTCTGCCAGACAGGCAGGCTGTGTGGAAGAGCACTGTGATCGAGAAGGTAACACACTGGAATTTATTTCTGGAGCAAATGAGGGATTAGTTGAGTTGGAGCCCTCCCAAGGTTTTTATTATGGACTTGGCCACCATTTTATTTGAATGCTGGTCGATCCTGTTGGCATCTAACAAAGCTCAAGGAATAAAAGCACATTATAGTTTTAGTTCTATAAAATAGTCTAGCACTAATCCACTCAGAAAGATGAAGCATCAGAGCCTCTTGTTGCTAGAAAGCAGGGCAGGGGGGCCCAGCAGGATGAAGGTTAATTAAACACTCCACTAACTTTCCTCAGAAATGGCTAATGCCACTCTGTGGAAAAGCTTATTTAGAAGACACAGAAGTGAACAATATCATCTCCACATTCTTAGTGTAAACCATAAAAGGTTTAGAGTACTCACCTTGGGGCTGAAAATCCCAGTAGTATCTGAAATACAAGGAAAAGAACAGGGTTAAATCAAACCTGTACTTTTCAGTCTGGGTTGGCATACAGTGTTTATAGCACCCAGTCCGAAAAAGTTGCTAAATGGTCAGTGACTAGCCAAAGCCACTACCTCGTTTGAGGAAAACCTATGGGTTGTCCCTGAGATTTGGAAGATTCACGACGGCTTGAAAGCAGCACTTAACTCACTGTAACTCCTTAGATAATTTTGATCATGTTGCTGGAAATGTCCTAGGGGGTTTGCTGGCCATGGTCCAGGGTTTCTCATCAGAAGCTCTACAGGCTGTGAGCAAGACAACTCTTTGTTGTGACAGCCTGTGTTGTGTATTACAGGACCATCAGCATTACTGGTTCTGGGCATCAAATGCCAATGGCATCTCTTGTTGTTATAATAATCAAAACATTGCCCCCAATGCATCCTCAAATACTTCTAGGCCTAAATTCTTAATTTTATAGGTGAAGCATGAACAACTGACTCAAGGTCATCTAACATTTTAGTATCTGAGCCAAATCTGGGGTTCTTGAAGTTTGCCCTCTACTTTTTTATTTTGGGAAATGATTGACAAAACTGACAACTCTTAAAGTTTTAAAGCTAATAAAATGGCAGTGGTGGGAAGGGTCATTTGTAAGTTACTTATTTGGAATCTACATTGCATTTCCCCTCATAGAAACAACGTTGTATATGGTGGCTACCCACAAAAGTCTATGGCACTTTCGATTCCATTTCCTCCTGTCTTCACAGGAACCTTATACTATTTCTATATTGATTTTCTCCTGTGAATATTCAACCTCTTCCTCTCAACTTGGCTCTTTTCACCAGCATTTATGCTAATATAAAAATAAAGCAAACCCTCCCTCACCCCTTCATATACCTCTATCTACTGTCTTCTTTCCCTTCACATCACAGTGAAATTTTCAAAAGTATTGTCTATAGTTTCTCTTTTTATTTTCTCACCTCCCACTTGCTTCTCAACATACCTCGATTTTGCTTACAGTCGCCACTGGTGAATTCTTGCTGTGGACATGGAGGCCTCCATGCCACTAAATAGAATGAACATTTTTCTGTCCTCATCTTGACCTAGCAGGAGAGAATGTGTGCATATGACCATGCCCCCCGCCACCCCCTGCTAGAGAGACACAGATTTTTAAATCCTTAAACAAATCCATAGCCCAAAAAAGGATTAGCCAAAGGGCAATACATAGATGATAATGGTGTGCCTTCTAGTACCTACGTGACTGAAAAATGTGTGGCTACTTTAGGGTGAAATATCAGCCCAGGGAGTATCTACGTTATTTCTTAATAAGGTAAAATATTCAGAAAATGGGGAGGAAGGTCAATGTGGGGGGTGGGGGATGTTGCCATAATCCAGAGATAATTTCTTTGGGAAATTATCAGAGGAAGAGAAGGTGGGGAAGCAACCTCATGACTAGCTTTTCTTTTTCTTTTTCTAGAATAGCTCTGGGCTGACAATCAGGTGAAGGGAAATGTAACATACTTGGGTTAGATGGCAGGGAAAGTTCAGGACAGCAATGACATCTGCAGTGGAAAAGAGGAGAGGGAATGAGAGGAGGAAGGGATAGAAAAATGTAAAGCTGCAACAGCTGGGAAGGCACCCGTGTGGAGGTAGGGACATGCAAACGGGCACTAGCTGTAACTTAAATAATGGTATATGTTAGTGTGACGGCACGGCGGGTCAGTCTCCTCTCGGCAGACTGTGCAGCTCCGCACTGTACCTGGCCGCTGTGAAGAGTTTTCCATAAAACTCCTTTCTGTAAAATGCAGCTAATCAAGCTAATCATCAAAGGGCTGAGCCATTTGACCTCTTCTCTTACTGTTTTCCATCTTCTTTTGAGGCACTGTCCTAGCCCCTTATTCTAATCATTACCCAACCTCTAATTCAATAGAAATAGAAATTAAGGTGTGAGCATATGCAAGTGTGTGTGTGTGTGCGCACGCACACTCCTCTTTCCAAAGCATCAGTGATGGCAGCAGCGGGAACTTTGATAACCACTGGTATTCTCATGCATTACCCAGAAAAAACCTAGCCATGCCGCAGCAGTTAAATGGTCAACTCTTAGCAAATTGTTTAGTAGGTAAAATATGTTATTAATGATTTCAGCCTCTTCTTTTGTCCTCTCTCCCCCATAAACCCCACTCCAACTCACACACACATTTTCAGTTCCTTTCTCTACCTACTGTAATGGGTCCCTGGTCTTCTGGAACCTCTTGCTAGTTAAAGAAGATGTTGTAAGTTCACATACACTCAGAGTATTGCTTCTGCCAATGGTAGCTATGTCTTAAGAAGGCTGATTATGAAGAAAGTTTAGATTTAACAGTATCAAATAAAGTAGCAGGTCTATTTTGGTGTTAAATAGCACAATCTTATTTTTTATGATACTGTAACTAAATATTTCTGTTAATAAAAGTCACAGGTAAAACTGACATGGAATGAGGAATGTTAGTGCCCTTCTTTTTCAGAAGGTATAAAACTGTCCTGCTACTCTACCTTTTTTCCCTGTCTTCTTACTCTCACACACAGTTTCTCTCCCTCTCTCTCTCTCTCTCTCTCTCTCTCTTTATCCCACAGCTCACATAAGATACTTCTAAAAACCATGGCCAAAAGGTGAGCAACCTCGTCCTTCACTGGAGGGCGCCCTGGATTATTCTCTGCAGGACGCACTTAAGGTCTTGATCTTGTCTTGTTAAACATATCATATGGGTGGCCTTCATCACATTCTCTGGAAAGATGATTCCACACTAAAGAATTCTACCCTCTTTAGGAGGTATTTAGTTAAACCCTGCCAATGTCTTCTAAATCTTATCCTTCACTTTAAAAACAATTATCCCTTAGCCAGAGACACCAACAAGTATGAAACTAGAAATTTTGAACCAAAACATAAAGGCCACAATAGAAGCATATGAAAGAAAAAACACAAACACACAGAGTTGTGTTTATCCTAAAGCCTCTGAGAATTTCCTATCAGGCCTGTGTAGATAGATAACAAACGCTTCTTTAATCTTCTCTTTGAAGCTTCGGCTTCAATATGCAAGGGAAGCTATCACTCCTCCGCAATATCCATACTCAACATCATCAGGTCCATGCAAATGAGATTATAAACTGGAAAAAGATGAGTACAGAATGAGCAGAGAGAAAATGCTGAAACCATATTGATGATTATTATTTTCACAATCAAAATAAATACATCTTTTCTTGAGCTTCCAAAAATGAAAATGGAAGAATAAAAGTTCACAACATCAAGTCTACTCTACAGAAAAATCTTGAAAATTTAAGGTTACAGTGCAAGTAAGGTAAACACAAAGTTTGCAATACATGTTTTTAAATTAAAGAGGCTTTTTAATTGAACTTTATTTAATTAATTTATTTTTATTATTAAAGTACAGTGACATACAATGTATTAGTTTCAAGTGTACAACATAGTGATTTGACATTTATATATGTATCTTATGAAGTGATTACCATGATAAGTAACCACCTGTCACCTTACAAAGTTATTACAGTATTATTGAATATATTCCCTACACTGTACATTATATTCCCATGACTTATTTTGCAACTGGAAGTTTGTACTTTTCAATCCCCTTCACCTATCCCCTTTAACAGAACTTTTGTTTAAGGAAAGGCACAACAGATAAATTGAACCCACTGTATTGAGGGAATCTTGATGAGCAGCAGCCATTGAGACAGTAGTAACAATAATAATGACAATAACAATATTAAGATCTCTTGAACATATTACTGGACACTGTTCTAAGCACTTCTCTTATATTAACTCACTCCTCCCCCAACTCTAACCCTATTATTACAGATATTCTATAAATGAGGAAACTGAGGCATCAAGAGATAACTTGTCCACAAATAGTAAATGAGGCAGACAAGCTTCCAATCCAAGCAACAGGTTACAGAACAGGCACTGTAATAATAAATTTAGGAGGTAAGACAAATAACTGTAACTATTCTAATGTAATTGAAAATATCTAGAAGAAACAATAATTCCATTTCCTAACTATACTAAAACAATTAACATATTCAGTACTTAATATAGGCATTGTGCTAGGTACATGTTTTACATGTATTATTTTATATACTTTTCATCACAATCCCATGAGGTCAGTACTATAATTATCCTCATTTTATAGATGATAATACTGAGACTTGGTAAGGTCAAAACAACTTGACCAAAATCATGTAGCTATTAAGTGGCAGAACCAAGATTGCACCCAGGTTTGCTTGCTTCCAGAGCACATGCTCTTAAATTCCACATTAACGCTTTTCAATCGGCTGTAATACAGAAAACAAACTTGGTATTAAGAGAAAGTTTAATTGTTTTAAAAGTTTAAAAATTGTTTAAAAGTTTGTTTCGTCAGACAGCCTACTATCAGAGGGTAAGTAGATCAGAGGTCTTTAACTTGATGTCAGTCCATTACTGAGCTTTGGGAGATAAATGAACTCCCTAAAATTGTAAGTGAAAAGTAGTATGTGTTTTCTTTTCCCTTGAAAAAGAGTACAAAAACTTCATTAGATTTCAAAAAAATATCAATCAATAACTCTCTCCCTCCAATGTGAGAAGACCCTCTGGGTCAGAGGAATAAGGTTGAAATGGCATTATAAAACTAGCTATGCAGAAATGCCAACATCTGTAATGTTATAAATCTAGAACATCTAAATGAAATTTTTTGCAACTACGTTATTACAAGGGTTATTTTTACCTGTGATTTATGGAAATTTAAAACTCATCATTTATCCCCCGCTACCTGGTAAAAAACTCAAATCTCTCCTTGCTGACTTAAGGATATCTAAATTTAAGGTTCAGTTTTGTACCAAAACAGTGGAACCTTCTAAATGAATAGGCTGTCTGCAATACTCAATGTCCAGAGACATCTATTTCCTTCTTGACTATCTCTGTTCTCTGGTAATGGCTGTTTCCAAATAGACTGTGAAGACTAACACTGAAATATTATTCTG